TCCTTCCATGGTCAAAGTACTTTTACCTTTTCACAGAAATCTTACGAGTGAAAAGGCTTAATAAAGAAATTGTGGTAGAGCCATGCTGCAGATATATTAGTAGTATAGTTGTAGCACGAATGGGTCGGCTCGACCGGGGAAGGACCACGGTCTCACAGAATACCAGCGCAAAATAGCAGCTTAACGCTGCTGTGTTTCGTATGGTGAGTGTAGAGAACCGGAGACCCTTTTTACTGGAAAAGAGGCATTTCATCTTAGTCCTCACGGGTGACAACGCATCAGCATTTTGATTTATAATAGAGGATAGAAGTAGATGTCTATGGGCCGCAGCAACCACTTACCATCAGGTGGACTGTGTGCTCGTTTGTCACCCTTAAACTATTAAAAAAAATTCTGCTTTTTATTTGCTGTATCGTGGCGGCGTAAGAAAATTCACTACTCCTTATCATCCTGTAGGTGTTGTAAGATGTGACAGAGTGAAAAAGAGATGGGCAGCACCATATTCTTTACAACTGAAAATAATAATTAAAACTGCGGTCGCCAACCTACCTGTTCAGCGTGGCTACTATAGCCAAACCCCCAATAAGAATCATTGGCTAGCATTGAGTTGCAGCGCTGGGGGTCACGAGTTCGAACAAGTATTTGTATGGGCAACAAATAATTGTTCAGGCTCTGGATGTTTGTCCATTTGCAGATTATGTATGTTAACTGCCCCCACAATATAGAAAAAATCCTATAGTTGATTTTTTTTTTTTTCAAAATAACATCGATGTGGCAGACCTAAGTTCAGCATTGGATTTTTGATGGGTCGTTATGCATAAATGAATGAATTAATTCTGATTTTGCTATCTATATAAGGGATTTTTTAAATGTATTCTCGATATAGTGCTAACGCCCCGTGGCGCCATTGTGGCTTCACCGTGGTAGCTTGCGTGGGTGGCCGACCCCGATGACATGAGTTTCCTTGTAATTAATAACACCATCAACACTCTACTAAGTGAAAATGAAATGTTTTGTTGTAGTGAAATCTTATATTGCGATAACTTACATGAAAGATTAAGTAACTTCAATTACGTACCATGAAACTCGTTATACATTAATTTATTATCGGCTTTTTTTTATAAAATAACAGGTGAGAAACGAGCACACAATCCACATGATGGCTTTACCACGTAATTTTTTTTAGTTTATTAAAAAGGTGTATATTTAGGACTATGTGATTTCGTTCGAGGTACAAAAAGTTTTTTTTAAATTACCGCTAAAAATGAAATAAGTTTCGCACACCTATTATAAGGTATGCGTATGCTTTTATGTCACTTTTGACAGGTTGACTTTCGCGTTACCAGTCGTTTCGGCGATCTAGGTAATTTACGCTTGCTGTAAACAAAACGGTGGTGGGCCGTGTAGTGGCGGTGTAAGAAAATCCACTACCCCATATCGTGGGTTTCGTAAGAGGCGACAAAGGGAAACAAACCAGAAGATGGGTAGCAGCAGCCTTTCTTATAAAAATTTTAAATTATAAGAAACAGCGGTTGCCAACCTGCCTATCAAGCGTGGCAACTTTTTTTTTTATAGGAGAGGGGTCAAACGAGCATGCGGCTCACCTGATGGTAAGTGACTACCGCCGCCCATGAACAACCGCAACACCAGGGGAATTGCAGATGCGTTGCTGGCCTTTTAAAAAGGAGTAGGCTCTTTTCTTGAAGGTCCCTAAGTCGTATCGGTCCGGAAAAATCGCTGGTGGTAAACTATTCCACAAGGAAGTTGTGCGAGGAAGAAAACATCTTCTAAATCGCACAGTGGTGGACCGCCAATCATCCAGATGGTGTGGATGGTATCGGGAGTTCTGCCGCGATGTGCGTTCGTGAAATTTGGCGGCTGGGATTAATCCGAACAATTCCTCAGAGCACTCCCCATGGTAAATGCGAAAGAAAATGCTAAGAGATGCAACATCTCTTCGCAGTGCCAATGAGTCGAGCCGATCGGAAAGGACTCGGTCGTCGACGATTCGAGCCGCTCTGCGCTGGCTGGAAATATTGGCACGGCCGGTGTATAGAGCAACACCAGTGCTGTCATCCGCATAGCAATGAATGCTACCGGCTTGCAACATATCATTGATATGCAGAATAAAACAGCGTTGGTGATAGCACGCAGCCTTGTGGAACACCAGCGTTAATAGGCTTGTAGTCGGAGCATGCACCGTCTACAACGACCTTGATGCTCCGATCTGCAAGAAAGCGCGCAGACTTTTCCCTGCAACAAGAACCCTGTGAAAAATAAGTGTGACTTTATACGCTGGAACATCTACGTTTAGATATTTATTAAAATGGATACAGGATAGGAAATTTAAAGGCATATAAATCTAAAAACATTTACGAATTACATATATACGAGAGTGCACGATAACTGTGGCGTAAACGCGGTTCGTCCCTACTCCATAACCTAATTGAGCAGCGGCCCGCAATGGAAGCTGCCTACGCGAATGTTTCAAGTATACGTACACAAACGCCTCGTGAACCCTTTGAGTCTATTAATAACGCCAAACAAGTTACAACTGTATAATTTCTGTATTTCTTAAAACATTATTATTTAACAAATAACAATGTAAGGGACACAATGTTAAAAACTATCTTCTTAACTAAAGAAATAATTTGTAAAAAAATTCTAGTTTTAACCACGTAATGAAAACTGATAACTGTACTCCTGGTCCCCAAGATACAGGCTATGCCTAGTTTGGGATCCGCCAGTTAATTTTTTATATGTAATAAGAATTTTAAAAAATCATATAAGTTACTGTTTTTTGTGTTTAGCTCTGTAACTCTATTTTTTAAGAATAAATTATTTTATTTTATTTTATTTTCATTCAACAAAATATCATAAAACAATAATTATAACTTTTAACAAAAAGTAAAAACCGACTTCAAATTGCTACCCTTAGGAGATAATTTTTTTCTCCAAATTTATATGGGACCACCCATGAAGTACCTGTTGAATAAAAAAAGAATCACCAAAATTGGTTCACAATCTGCGAAGATATCGCGTAACGTACATATAAAAAAAACATACACTCGAATTGAGAAATCATCCTTTATGAAGCCGGTTAAAAAGAAATGGACGAATCCGTGGCGCAGTGGCTTAGCAATGAGTTGCAGCGCTAAAGGCCGCGGGTTCAAATCCCGCACGAAATAATTTCACATTTGTATAGCATACCAATAAATGTTATGGATGTTTATTCTTGTGAAATTTATGTATGTAAATTGTCCCCATGATATAGTAGAAAATCCTAGTGTGGAAGGAACGTTTTGACAAAACTGAATGATGAATCAGCATTGCATCAATGAAAACGAATTATCACCATTATTATACCTGCCGTCGAAATCCTCCTTCAATACTTCTTCGCAAAATCTATCCTTGCATACTTCATCATTTTGAAAAAGTCACATCAGCTCGTAAATAAATCAAAAATGGACATGAGCCTCTTTCATAGTAGGGATAGATTTAAGGTTTTATTTTATACAATCAATGCTGAAAAAGGAGCACTCAGTCCACCTGATGGTTAAAGGATGCATGGAGCAGATGCGTTATCACCCTTTAATACTAAGGTGGAATGACTCGACTGCAGCTATATTAGTAGTAGGTGTAGTTGTAGCACGAATGGGTCGGCTCGACCGGGGAAGGACCACGCTCTCACAGAATACCTTTGTAAAATAGCAGCTTTAGCTTTAGGCTGCTGTGTGGTACTTCACTGCTGGCCGGATGAGGAAGCTCAAGGTCGCTCAGCGAGCTATGAAGAGGGCTATGCTCGGAGTTTCTCTGCGTGATAAACTCAGAAATGAGGATATCCGCAGTAGAACCAGAGTGACTGACATAGCCCAACGGATTAGTAAGCTGAAGTGGCAATGGGCCGGCCATATAGCTCGAAGAACCGATAACCGATGGAGAAAAAAAGGTTCTCGAGTGGCAGCCTCGTACCGGCAGGCGAAGGGTTGGGCGTCCCCCCAATAGATGGAGTGACGACCTAGTAAGATATGCAGGAAGTCGATGGATGAAGGTGGCTCGGGACCGTGCTTTGTGGCATTCCTTGGGGGAGGCCTATGTTCAGCAGTGGACTTGTGAAGGGCTGTAATGATGATGATGATGACGCTGCTGTGTTTCGTATGGTGAGTGTAGAGAACCGGATACCCTTTTTACTGGAGACGAGGCATTACATCTTAGTCCTCACGGGTGACAACGTATCTGCATTTTGATTCGTAATCGAGAATAGATGTAAACGTTTATGGGCCGCAGCAGCCACTTATCATCAGGTGGATTGTGTGCGCGTTTGTCACCCTTATCCATAAAAAAATAGTATTACCGTTTCCCTTCTTCACCATACATCGTCATCGTTATTATTATTACAGCATTTCAAAAGTTCACTGCTGAAAAGAGGTCTCCTAATAGATTTCCTCACAAGGGGGATATTTGTCATAGTAGGCCGCAGAGTCTCATAATAACTCCCCTTGTTTCCCTCTGTGGCCTCTTACGATACCCGCGGGACGTGCAATCTTTTTTTCCTTTCTCTTTATTCTCATTCTTATTCCACCAATTCACCATCAATATGTAGGTATGAGATACGAACAATATTATCGTATGAAAAGTACAAGCAAGTTTTCTATACACTTATATATATATATATATATATATATATATATACATTTAAAAATCAAAATGCAGATGCGTTGTCGCCAAAGGACTTGGATGGAATGCCTCGTTTCCAGTAAAAAGGGTCTCCGGTTTTAAAGTTACAAAACACAGCAGCATTATGTGAGGGCGTGGTCCTACCCCGGTCGAGCTGACCCATTCGTGCTAAAACCACAATATAGCTGCAGTTTGACTCTACCGCGTATAACAATATAACTTTAACAGCAAATAAAATAAAAAATAAACTGACAAAGGTGTAGTGTGTTCTTAACAATACAAAGTGACAACATAAATTCAAGTGTGCCTTGTGTTTGTTACAGAGACAGGCGAGGCTGACGGTAAATCGGTAAGTTGAAGAGATTTATTAAACGAGCAGACCCGCCCACGGGTATAATAACGAAGCTCATTTACACAAAACCACGCTTACGCCTAGTGATTCACATCAAATTATTGAGCAATGTTTTTGTTCATCCCTCGTTGTTCGCTTTGCGATAACATTTAAAATGTGAATTTTGAGTTTTCTTTCTTTTTTATAACAGGGGTTTATGTATGAAGTTGCTTCAATGGAGTGGCCAGTTTGAATTAAAATTAAAACTGTATGGTCAAATTATTAATAGAATCAGACTTTGCGGAAATCTATTATATTAAAGATTTTAAAAATTAATTACCTAAGATCCATTAAGGGAGCGGTCAGCCACCGCAGAGTCTACTTTACCTGAGGATACCTCGTTTAAAGGCGAAACTCATGTCGTATTATCGACGGTGGTGTGTCTTTACTAGTGTAGTGGTGTTTGGAGTAGTAGTGCTGGGATTCGTGGTGACAGAGATAGTGCACTCAGTAGAGGGAGGGCGGGAAGTGTTTTTAAAACTAGGTAAGACAGATCGTTCGTAATTCGATTCGTAAATAAAATTTTCAGAGAAACAACCTGACTCGTCACTCGATCTTCGCCATTAATGCTAGATGATAACACAAAACCTCACACTGCTTGATAAACCTTTTTAACATTACAAGAACGGCAGTTGGATACGATACCTCATCCTCCGTAATTGCTAGTCTTGACACTAATGGATTACAATTTTTATATGTTAAGAATCAAAATATAGATGCGTTCTTACTTCGTTAATAAGATGAAATGCCTCCTTACAAGTAAAAAGGGTCTCCGGTTTTTACACTCACCATACAAAACATAGCATCATTATTCTGTTGTTTCACGCTGGTATTCCGTGAGAGCGTGGTTCTATCCCGGTCGAGTCGAACTATTCGTGTCACAGCCATAACATAGTTGCAACGTGGTTCTACCACGTAAAAAACTAAAGAAATGCTTGGAAAATAGTCCACTATTGGAAAGGCGCTTTTGCCATATTACAGAGGGTACAATTTTTCACACTTCGGAGATGGTGGGTGATAGCGATTGCAGTACCAAAAACCATTTAAGCGTTCCCAGTTCCCGGTTCTCTATACTCACAATACGGAACATAGCAGTATTATGTTGCTATTTTAAGGTGATATTCTGAGAGGGCGTGGCCCTCCCTCGGTATAGCTGACCATTCGTGCTGACACATTCGAGATTGTGAGACATTGATGCTAACTGAAATTAAAAACTACATGTCAAAAATAATAAATATTTTTTTTATTTTACATGATATTAAAGTATTTCTCTCTCCCGACAAAGCGTTCTAAATATTCCAAACACGAACTTCGTAGCGTTAAGTATGCAAATAGGATTCTATTACTTTGACGTTGGCCGCCGGCTAGAATTCTGATATATTTTTAGAGTTTCGCTAAATTTGTCTGCGGAAAATTGTATATTGTTCTATATAAAATTTTGCGTTACTCATTTAATAAAGGCTTGCTTTTAAATATAGCAGGTAAATAAAATAAAACTTTGCTTATTATTAAACAAAAATGAATTAATTAAAGTTACATATTCTGATAGTGTGTAGCGGTGGCACCCCACATCATCCCATGGATGTCGTAAGAGGTGACAGAGGGAAATAAAGCACTAGATGGGCAGCAGCGTCTTCGTACTTACAATTAAAATATAAAAAAACTGCTATTGCCAACCCGCCTGCCATGCATGGCAACGTTTCCCCTATGAAGCAATCTATAGGGGAGGCCTATGTTCAGCAGTGGACTTTGATAGGCCGCAAACAAAAATTACAAAACCTTAACTATGCTTTAATTTAAAAAATATATATGAACTTCTGCGGACTGATAACATTAAAAAAGAAAAAATATGCAAATACAACCAAATTATAGACAACAAAACAGCAGAATTTACCAACTTCTTAAACAGTTTCGTAATAAAATACTAGGGACTTTCAAGAAAAGAGCTGAGCTTTAAAAGGCCGGCAACACACCTGCTATTCCCTTATTTCTCATATCAATGATTAAACTATCTGTTTTACTCTGGAACTATCAGTTCTACTTTCGCTATTAGTTTGCAATATAAATTAAATACTATAAATTTGTTACGTGATAGAACCACGCTGCAACTATAATAGGGTTGTAGCACGAATGGGTCGGCTCGACCGGCGTAGGCCACACTCTCACAGAATACCAGCGTAATATAGCAGCTTGATGCTCCTGTGATTCGTACAAGTGTTGAGTGTACGGAGTGTTGAGAACCGAAGACCCTTTTACTGGAAATGAGGCATTCCATTTTAGTCCTCAGGGGTGACAACGCATCAGCATTTTGAATCTTTATCGAGGATAAGTGTAGATGTCTATGGGCCTCAGCATCCACTTACCATCAAGTGGACTGTATGCTAATAATTTCCACGTGTAATGCATAACACTACGTTGTGCTCTATTTTGCGATCGCTACGTAAAACGTACCTGTAGATTCGTAGCCTCGTAGCGAACCAAATGTAGCAATACATATACTCGTATATATACACGAGTATATCTCAGCTAATAAAAGTTGATTAAAACATTTTAGGTGTTTTTTTTTGTAAAATAAACTACAGATATTTATTGGGAGTACAAACATAATGAGCTTCGTTATTTTTGTTTTAAAGTGCGTGACATGTGTTTAATAACATGTTATTTTTTTTTTAAATTTTACTCACTTCTATTACAGGACGTTCCTGTTGAACAACTGGAAAAGCTAAAACTTGGTAAGTAATTTCCTTTTTTTGATTGAGCAAAACGATATGCTTTTTATTATATAAATGATATAATGAATAATGATCAATATGTTTCATTTGTATAATACGAATTCAGAAGTATTTTTGCTGTAACAATTGGTGAAAGTAAAATACAGTAATGAAATAAGAGTACGAGAGAAGTGTAGTAAGTAAATTTGTGAGACAATAAAACCTTACAAATAACAACTTCTTTCGAAAATCTTTAAAAAATGTTCCTTATTAAAACTTCCTTATTTAATCTTTGTTTTAAGTAGTCCTTTAAAACACTTCTTGTAATATAACTACAAATAATAACAATAATTTAAGACTATGAATCGGTATTTTAATAAAAATATCCATACTAGTAAAATGCCAGTTACTCGACTCCACAGAATTAGAAATTATTTATAGGGCAATATATACGCTTTTACAGAAAATCTTAGTAAACATCATTAAACAGAAGCTGTATAAAAACGGTTATTATATTATTAATGAATACGTGAATTAAAACCACCCCTGGGAATAAGTGATGATTTATATTATCTTTAATATATTCATATATTTATATGAATTGTTAATTGTGTAATGTTATTACAATTTTTTATTAATTGCATAATATTATTATATTTAAAAAATAACTGAGTTTCTTGCCAGTTCTTCTCAGGACACATATATTTTCTGAACCAGTGGTAGATACAAACTTGAGTTTCAATATGGATTAAGTAATAATTTATAATAAATAAAGAAATATTGTAATCTAGTCTATCAATTCTAAAAATTTGCGGGCGTACTAAACGTAAAGTAAGCTTAACAGGGTTATTTTTCAAAGAGTAGTGAAATTCTAAACTTAAGTTCAAATATATAAATAAGTATGTACCTTTATTAAGACGTGTAGGTAGTCGATGGATGATGATACCTTTACTGAAGTTTCTGAATATACGAGTAAATAAAGCTTCTACTTTTATTTTTAATCATCCCAAATTGAATGTGGTTTATGGGCAACTACGCGTACGCGCGCTCCTTTGTGGTAATTCAATTCACAAATTCACGTTTTGCCGACCGATCGACCCTTACGAATGTGTGCATATGTAGTAAAATTGTAGGCGTTAGATATTTATGAATAAAAATCAGTTAAAATAATGCACTACCAAGCAATTTGAATTTAAAAGCTAAAAAGGACAGAATCTTTGCCTATTTAACTTATTCTGAAACTTCTCTGCAAATTTGGAAAAAAAAACCTTCAGACGGCTGAAAATATTTTCTTGAATCATAGCTAAGAACAAGCTTGATCAAGTCACCTTTCAAGAACAAAAAACTAAATCTAAATCGGTTCATGTGTTTGGGAACTACGGTGCTACAGACAGACACACAGATACACACGTTAAATTTATAACACCCCCCCCCCCCCCTTTGCGTCGGGGGTTTTTGCGTTACACAAAATATAAAGAAAAAATTGCGAGAGAAAAAAAGGGTAAAATGGCGTAGCATGTGCTGATAACCTTTGACCCAAGATCAAATAGTTGATGCCAAATTATGGTACCTTTTACGTGTAAATATTACAAGTGTTGATTGACTGACATCGTCTCCTCGGATATTTCCATTGAATATCAAAATTGCATGGATTTATTTTTCATATAGAATAACAAACAGTCTCACGATGATTATCATCATCATCGTTGTGTTTTTGTAGCCATTTCAACCACGGATACCAATATTTTTTTATTATTTTTTATATATTATTTGGGTTTGTACTAACTTTTGTTTATTTTTTTATTTTAAATATAGTATTTTGAGGCTAGTATCTTTGAAATATAGTAGATGTTGAATAAAACTATTTTTACGGATTTTATCGCGTTTAATTAACAATTAAACAAATTAATTAAACGCGATAAAATCCGTAAAAATAGTTTTATTCAATGTGTAGTGTTCGCGTAAATATAAGAAATCATTATATAGTAGATGACGAAAAAAACATAAAATACCTTTCAATAAATGGAGTGACGACGACGTGGTAGCAGCAGGAAGTTGATAAATTCAGGTAACTCAGGATCCTGTTTTGTGTCATCCTTTAGGGGGCTTATATTCAGAAATGGAATTGTGTGGAGTTATATTGATAATAATGATGTATGAAATTAATATTTTATATTTTAAGGGAATATTTTTTGCTGCTCTGAGCCCTTGGTAACAGTCTCACGCTATAATATTAAATAGTAGTTTGACATTTTTTTTAATTAGAGTATTTGGACCACTTAGCAGGGTTAGCAATCCTTCATAAACAGGGGCTAATATGAACAATATTTAGAAAGCAAACAAAATGTTGATCAAAACATCGTTTAAGTGTACGAGGCGTCAACTTTCACAAACAACTAATTTAGCTTTTGATGTGTTTAAAAGTTCTCCTAAATGGGCTGTTCTAATCGAATCTTGCTGGATATCTTGCGGAGAAGTTTAACTCAGCAATATTGATAGCGATATTGTTGTATATTCCGGCACCGGCAATGTTGCTTCAACTGAAGTTACATTCCTACTGAGGAATTACCGTATTTTAAAATAAAAATATAGAAATATCCTACTGCGGAGGTACCGTTTTTTTTAAATAAAAAATAAACATTTTTGAATGTCATTATTAATATTATTTGAAACAGCAACAGAAGATTTATTTTAAAGCCATATTCTTACGTAAGAATTCTTACTATAAATCTGACTCTTATATAACTGGACGGAACAAGAACGCTATGAGCTGATGTATGAACCTTATACTTTACCTATACTTCACAAGGCATACATTTAACGTGTACTGAACAATAGCTTGAATAAACCAAGTTTAAATCCCAAAGAACACTGCCTCGGCACGTGCGGCACGTAGTTGCCCGAAATAATTGGAAGACGCCACAGCGCTCCATAGAGCGGATCTTTGTGAACGAAAACAGTAATTTGTAAGCTCCTTTGCAAACAATATTATACGTGTAATACACGACTTCACTAATATGAATATATGATTGGTACTTATAGTTATTTTCTTTTTTTTTATAGAAGAGGGGGCAAACGAGCATGTGGCTCACCTGATGGTAAGTGACTACCGCCGCCCATGAACAACTGCAACACCAGGGGAATTCCAGATGCGTTGCCGACCTTTTAGAAAGGTGTAAGCTCTTTTCTTGAAGGTTCCTAAGTCGTATCGGTCCGGAAAATTCGCTGGTGGTAATTGATTCCACAAGGAAGTTGTGCGACGGAGAAAACTTCTTCTAAATCGCACAGTGCTGGACCGCCAATCATCCAGATGGTATGGATGGTAACGCAAGTTTTATCGCGATGTGCGATGGTGAAATTGAGCGGCTGGAATTAGTCCGAACAATTCCTCAGAGCACTCCCCGTGATAGATGCGATAAAATACGCAAAGAGATGCCACATCTCTACGCAGTGCCAGTGTATCGAGCCGATCAGAAAGAACTCGGTCATCGACGATTCGAACCGCTCTGCGCTGGATGCGGTCAAGTGGAAGGAGCTGGCACTGGGGTGCCCCGGCCCAGAGATGAGAACAGTATTCCATGTGGGGCCGAACTTGCGCTTTGTAAAGTTGCAAGCGATGTGCCGGCATGAAATACTGTCTCGCTCTGCTGAGCACGCCAAGCTTTTTAGAGGCCAATTTGGCCTTGTCTTCCAAGTGACCACGAAACTGCACACTATTCGATATGTCGACGCCAAGGATTCCGATACTAGCTGAGGCAGCAAGGGGAGTGCCTTGAAACTGAGGAGATACGACAAAGGGGTTCTTTTTAGCGGTAAACGCGCAAACTTGTGTCTTCTGGGGATTGAACTGGACTAGATTAAGTCGGCCCCAATCCGAGACTTTGTTAAGCAAAGACTCGACTTCAGACACAAGTTTGTCCCGGTACTCAGCGACGTTTTCCCGAGAAATATTGGCACGGCCGGTATATAAGGCATCACCAGTGCTGTCGTCTGCATAGCAATGAATGCTACCAGTTAGCAACATATCATTGATATGCATGAGAAACAGCGTTGGTGATAGCACGCAGCCTTGTGGAACACCAGCGTTGATAGGCTTGAAATCAAAGCATGCACCGTCTACTACGACCCTGATGCTCCGATCAGCAAGGAAACTGGTGATCCATTTGCACAATTTCTCGGGAAGCCCATAGGAAGGAAGCTTCGAAAGAAGCGCTTTGTGCCAGACCCGATCGAAGGCCTTCGCTATGTCCAAACTAACGGCCAATGCCTCCCCCTTGGACTCTACTGCCTCCGCCCATCTGTGAGTCAGATAGACTAGAAGATCACCAGCTGATCGACCTCGACGAAAACCGTACTGGCGGTCACTAATCAGCTGGTGATCTTCCAGGTACCTCATGAGCTGGCAGTTTATAATTGATTCCATTATTTTGGAGAACAAGGAGGTGATGGCAATAGGCCTGTAGTTGGACGGGTCTGAGCGGTCGCCTCTTTTAGGGATCGGGTGGACCAAAGCTGTCTTCCATGAATTCGGGACTACGCCTTGGGAGTAGGAGTATCGGAAAAGACGCGTTAAAACCGGTGCCAACTCCGGAGCACACGTCTTCAGCACAATGGAAAGGACTCCATCGGGCCCACTCGACTTGCTGACGTCCAGGGAGAAGAGTGCTTTGCGAACTGAGCGCTGTGTAAATCGCACATCCGGCATGGAGCACTCACATCGCGAGATGGTCGGCGTTGTGTTCCCCCCGTCATCTAGAGTCAAGTTGGACACAAAAAGAGAGCTCAACAGATCGGCTTTCTCCTTTGCGGCATGGGCCAGTGAGTCGTCCTCTCTGTGCAGAGATGGAAGAGATGGCTGACAGAAGTTCCCTTGGACAGCCTTGGCGAGAGACCAGAATGCACGGATTCCTGAAGGAAGGCGAACTAGCTTCTCGCCAATTCTGCCGATGTGCTCAGACCTTGCCTTTGCAATGACGCTTTTGAAGGTCCTGGAGGCGGAGTTGTACTTCTTTTTAAGTGCG